ACAAGAAATTGTTTGCAACGTTTCTGGTTGATGGGATGTATGTGGTGGGTATATGCCACTTTGGAGTGAAATAAATACGTTTTGAGGTGAACGAAAGGACAGATACTTCATGTACCGTAAAATCTGTATTAGAAGCTGCATCTCTAATAGAAGTCGCACCCATTTTTTTTTAACAATTGGGAAACAAAAATTCATCATTTCTCATATGTGTATATGCTCTAATAGAAGCCGCAACCCCTCTGTTGAATTGTACCATTTTAATAGAAGCCGCGGCTTCAAATACAGATTTTACAGTACTAAGAAATATACTGCAAACAAATTATGCAATGACTCAAGTGTTTGCAATGTTGTCTGTTAATGTTACATTTGTAACTAATATGTTTACACTCTGTATCTTGCGCTAGTGAAATGTCAAATATGGTAATATTGACACTTACTGACATCTCCACCATACATTACATGTTTGTGTAGTTGAGTAAATTTGTAAATTCTTGTGTCCGCTGACAATTGTGTTGGAAACTGCTCTCTCTCAATTTTTGAGTGCCCTGATTTATAGTTGTAAGTGGCTACTGTAATACCACGGCTACAGACTATTATGAACACAATGTGAAACTTTTATTCAGACTGCTCCCTTGAATTATCAAATTATTGTGCAAGACATGGACAAGTATGCACCACCATATTTACATATATTGATCCGTAGTTTTAAAGCTATCAAGACAATAATTGAAGTATTGTATTGAAGAAGTTTTTATTCAAAGAACTATTAATTCAGATTTTGTATAGTGAGTGCATGGGGCATGAACTATTTCTTAAACATGAATTGACCGATTTCTTTCACATTTGGTATAAAGACAATGCATAGTATACATCTGCAGTTTGGCTTTGATTTGATCAAATATGACCAACTAGCAGCTAGTATGGCTGCATCCTAGAATGTCTCCACTAATGTTCTAGGAGATCAAGTTTTATATGTGTACATGTATGTTGGCAATACACATTGTGGTGTAGATGCAAGTTTTTTTTTTTCTGAAATCTTATTTTAGATGTCTAAAGGTGATCGATTCATAGAGAGAACCATGCTAGTATTTTATTACAAGATATATAACTCAGTAGCAAAATTATTTTATTTTCAAAAAAATATAACAACAATTTATGATTTCAATTTATTTTTAAATTTCAGATCAACCGCATGTTCCAATGAAGCCATTTATTTTGAATGATGAGTATATGGATGGTAGCATACGTGAGAAAAGATCCATTGGTAGTAATGAGATACCTACGTCCAGATCAGTTGAAACTTTAGTTGTTGTTGATGAGAAGATGCTGGAAAATCATGGATCGGAAAATGTTACTACTTATGTCTTAACTGTTCTTAATATGGTGATTATTTTATTCCTTTTTTTGATTAAAAAAGACACTGTTGTGGTGATTTACTTAAAATGTCCTATAGACTATTACCAGAATAGCTATAAGGACACACTAAATAACTAACTAGTGAAATACATATAAAAAGAAGGGGTACATGAACTTGTTTCCCATTAAAACAATGACTTTGTAATTTCTCTATTCTCTAGCAGACATGAAAACAAAGAACAACCTCTCACAAAATTGTTCTTTTGGGCTACTTGTTAAAACTCTCTTGCACTGGGTAACAAAATTACTCCTTACATGTGCAACATATCTAAATTTGGTTGCTCAGGATTACTTCAAGTTTGAGTTTATGCTGTTTTCACCAGCAATTCAACTGGCATTCCACTGCCAATCGCACAGAACTCATAGAAATACAATGTACGTGGTACAGTGGTGTGCATTCAAGCAACATAGAACGTTCTGTGGGGTAGCTCGGCCTCCGAGAATAGTGTTAATTTAACCCCTACTCTGATTGCCATTGATGATTGGTCAAAATACATACTGAGAGTCATTATTAGAAAACTGTTACAAATAGACAGCCACAGGAAATAACTTTGAAAAGTTTCAGAAAATTTAAAAAAGAAAGTACTGTGAAATACTTTATTTTAGCTGGAATTAATTTTCGCTGAAAAAGCTTTTTGGGTGTTTTGTATGGAATTTATTTTCAATGATTTTTGGCGATTTGAATGCGAGACATAGGAAAAAAAGTATATTTGCTGGATTTTATTTTCACTGAAGCATCCCTTCAGTGAAAATAGCGAAATAAATTTCCAAGCGAGAATAAAGTATTCTACAGTATTAGTTGTAAACAACTTAATAGACTGTGTTGAAAATGTAATAGTTCCGGTAATTGCTAAGAAAAACAAAGTACCAACTTGGTTTTGTGAGAGAGGGCGCCCTATTTTCTAATGACTTTGGTTCCGTTTTTAAATACAACATTGAAGGTTGTTAAATTGTTGTCAGATAAACAATTTGTTCAGGAGAATATAGCCAGATATTTCAGCCAAAATACACTAGTGTTTTATAAGATACCATGATGTGATGTTATCAGCGGTATTCACAACAGATTTTCACAAGATTCTGTGCAATACTGCATTATAACGTTATAATTAGCCATTTTTATTTTCCTCATATTCTACAATTATTGACTTGCAGTCTTTTACCCCCGTAAAATAATCTTGGAATTTCTGTTTAGCGAATATATTGTTTTAAAGTTTGCATTGAGGAATTCTGTTGAATACCAACATGCCTCGTATCTATTACTATAGGAAATCACCCGTTGTGATAAACCTAATTACATCATACTATTTGTTCAAAAAAAAAACATGTTTGAATAAATGTGCTAATCTGGGAAGTTGTAGGGCATATATATAGAAATAAATGTTGACATAAATTAAGTCTGTGTTTTTAGTCTTCAGTGACGCCAAGGTCTGTCAGACTGGTTGTATCAAAGCAGGTCATCTGTTCAACCTGTTAGAATGCGTAATTTATTTTTCACATTCTAGGTATCAAGCTTGTTTCAAGATGGCAGTATTGGTGATTCTGTGGACATTGCTTTAGTTAGTCTAGTTTTGTTAGAGGACGCACAGGTTAGTAGATAATTTTTTATTACATGCAATAACAAGATTTGGCTAATTTTTTGTGTTTTATTATATTTGATTAATTAGCGAAAAATTATTCCCCCAAAAAACATTGCTCACAGATACTGCTCATCAAATATATGTGTTTTTTGCATATTAAATGCATATTAATTAAACTAATTTACATAATCAGTATACTCAATAAATTGAGTTGACAGAACAGTGTTGCTCAGAGCGTTGATTGTGCATTAAGTTCACCAGAGAACAGTGAATTTGGTAACTGACCAAGGTTATGAGGTTATTCTCCAAATGTCAGAGACTTTTAATCGAGGTGGTAATCAAAAGTCAAGCATCTTTCAAAGTGAACACGCTGATTCATATTAGGAAATGTATTGACAAGTAGAACTTTTTTGACATCAATGTAGATTTACAAAACAACTTTTGCACATACTAATACATGTACACAGATCAATATAAAAAAATTGGTATCAATGAGACAAAAACTGTACTGGTGTGTTTTAACTTGATTTATGTTTATCCTAGTGTTTTCTAATGAACAAAGTATGTAGGCGCTAATTCTACTTTGTAATTCAACAATTAATCTGCACTGGTCTGTATGCTGTGTTCCGTTCTAAGTACTTTTCATACAGTGTAATTGGCTAAATAATAAAATATGATGACTGATACTTTTTTGAAAGCATTAAAAGTACATTTTCAATTTGAATATTCACTGGCAGCTGATAAGAACAACTTGTTGCTTGTAAGAGTTTGGAGATGAGTTGCTGTCACGCTATTGGTCAGGATGCTGCTCCAAGAAAAGTGTGAAAAAGTGAAAAGTTTGTTTCTTGTCATAAGAGTATGTTTAACTGTAGTTATCAAATATAATATTTGTTTCACAGGCGGGTTTATCCATTAGCAATCATGCAGACCACTCATTGCAGAGCTTTTGTCAGTGGCAGTCAACGTTACAAAGTTTAAACGGTTCTCGACATGACCACGCTATACTTCTAACTGGAATGGATATCTGTTCTTATAAAAACGAACCGTGTGATACCCTTGGTGAGTATATTTAAATGGCGTTGGTTGTCGTGCAGCATGTGTATGTATTCCTTATTTTACACACATTGTGTTGTGTACGCGCTATGAAAAATATAAGAAATACCCCGGTAAGTGCTGCAAAATTCGGGCAAGAAATTCTGGTGATGAAAAGGTTTAATCCAAGTGTTTGTGCATGGTAAATGAAATCTAGTTACTATCAATTATTTCTCAAGAGACAATAAATCAATGAAAAACAGTTTCCACAACAATTGTCATCTGACACAAAAATTTGCAAATTTATTCAACTATGCAAACATGTAATGTACATGTATCATGGTGATGTTAGAATGTGTCAATATTATACATATTTTAGATTTCACTAGCATAGATAGACTGTCGTCAGTCGGTCGTACCTAATTACCTTGCCCGTACCATCAAAGATGGAAGGGAAAGGTATATTAAGGGAAAAATTTTGTCCGGCGTTGTCGTCGTCGTCGTCGTCGTTAATAATTGTTATTGTGTGCATGATAACTTTACTAATTCTATTCCAAACTTCATCAAACTTGGTCACCTTGTTCATTAGTATAAAGTCTTCCCTGAGTTTGAACAACAGATGTCCTGTATGAAAATATCATGCAAAAATTGAGAAAAACTGATAAAATATTTTGACTGTTTCTACTTGACTGATCACTGGTGATACACATCAAAGGTCACTGATCTCAGTGGAAATATGCATTGTTGTATGTGTTCAATGAAGCAAATGATTTATCTTGTAATAATATCCTTGGTAATGTATTCCAGAATCCCATACTGGGTTTCAAAACCAACTCATCGAGAGATTGCACAGTCTGATACACATTTGCAAACCTACCAATAAAATCTTTACAGAAAACAAGATGTCAGAAAATCAATATAAGCACTCCTATGAACTGGGTGCCAAACTTTGATCAAGATCTGAAGCTAATAGAAAATCTGTTTAGTTCAAAGTTATCAATCAAAACATACATAAAAAATACATAAAAAGCAAACATTTCATCCACATTTTAAAAAGAAAA